GGTCGCGAAGATCGACTGCACGAAGTCGTGCCGCACCTCCACGTGGAGCACGCCCATGGCCGAGCCGAGGCCGGGGCGGAAGGGCACGATCACCTCGGGAATGCCGAGATCGCGGGCGAGCTCGACTGCATACAAGGGTCCGGCGCCGCCGAAGGCAACCAGCGCGAAGTCGCGCGGATCGTGGCCGCGCTTCACCGAGACGAGGCGGATCGCGCCCGCCATGTTGGCGCGCATGACGCGCAAGATTCCGGTGGCGGCTTCCGCCCGCGAATAGCCCAAAGGCTCCGCGATCCGGTCGATGGCCTGCTCGGCAATCTCCGGGTGCAGTGCCACCCGGCCGGCGAGCCTGGTCTCTGCGCCGAGCCGGCCGAGCACCAGGTTCGCATCGGTCGCGGTGGGCTGAGTCCCGCCCTGGCCGTAACAGGCCGGGCCCGGGCCGCGCGCCGGCGCTCTCCGGCCCCACCTTCAACACCCCGCCCTCGTCGATACGGGCGATGGAGCCGCCGCCGGCGCCGATGGCCGTGACGTCCACCGAGGGGAAGCTGATGACGATGTTGAACTCGATGTTCCATTCGGGCCGGATCAGCGGGCGGCCCCGGCGCGAGAGCGAGACATCGGCGCTGGTCCCGCCCACGTCGAGGACGATCACGTCGGGCCTCTCGGCGAGGCGCCCGATGGCGGCACCCGCCATCACGCCCGCCGCCGGCCCCGACTGGCAAATCCGCTGCCGGGATGCGCCGCGCCGCCTCGATGGACATCACACCGCCGCCGGAATGGGTGATCAGGACCGACCCGTCGTAGCCGATGCCTTCCAGCCGGGCGAGGAGTGCGGCGAGATAGCGCTCCAGCACCGGGCCGAGATAGGCGTTGGCGACGGTCGTGCTGGTGCGCTCGAACTCGCGGATCTCGGGCAGGATGTCGGAGGAGTGGCAGACGTAGCTGCCCGGCATCTCGTCGGCCAGGATCTCCTGCGCGCGGCGCTCGTGGGCGTCGTTGATGTAGCTGTGGAGGAAGCTCACCGCCACCGCCTCGACGCCGCGCTCGCGGAGCCGCGCCGCGGTCTCGCGCAAGCCCGCCTCGTCGAGCGGCTCCAGCACCTCGCCTTCGTAGGTCGTGCGCTGGGCGACGGTCATTGTGTCGCGTCGGTCGACCAGCGCGGGCGCCGGGTCCCAATCGGAATCGTAGAGCGTGGGCCGGGCCGCGCGCGCGGCGTGCAGAACGTCGGTGAAGCCAGCCGTGGTCACGAGCGCGGTGCGGGCGCCCGGTGCGCATGATGACCGTGTTGGTGGCGATGGTGGTGCCGATCTTGATGAGCTTGATGTCGCGGGGCTTGGCGCCCACGGCCTCGATGCCGTCGAGCATGCCGTCGATGAAGTCGGGCGGGGTGGACGCGGTCTTCGCGATCTCGACCGCGCCGGTCTCCGTGTCGTGGCGGATCACGTCGGTGAACGTGCCGCCGACATCGACGGCGAGCACGTAGCGCGCGCCCGAAGCAGCGCTACTCATGCGGCCTCACGTGGCTACTCATGCGGCCTCACGTGCTCCGGTCACAGTGTTGCCCCGCGCTATCGCGACAAGCCGCGCACGATAGTCGCCCGCCGCCAGTGACTGCGCACAAGCCCAAAGAAAACACAGGAAGCGACGGTCTCAAGCGACGATCTTGCTGCTATTCGCACACGCCCCACTCGAGATACAGGCCAGCACGGCGGCGTCGAGACGGCGCCGGACGGTACATCGCGAAGGGCTCCAATGTGCGTCTCGACGCGCGCCGGCGAAGCGCTGCGTGCGGCGGGACGACGCCGCCTCGCCCACACACCCTTGCCTGCCAGGGGATTCAGCTGTAGCTGCTCTACCCATGTGAATAATCTCGATCGGCGGGATCTCCATGGCCGTCGGACTCAATAGTCCATGAGGTCCGTGGACCAGCGCTGGCCCGCTCGCTCGAACCTGAGCTTCTCGTAGAAGGCGCCGCCGATCCCCTGCGCCGTGCCGCAGCGATCTGGACCCTCGATCGATACTGGGTGGGGTTGCATCAGCGCGCGCGCAGTCGACTGCCCACGACGTATCTTCTCGATCGCACCCATCATGCCGGTGGCGGTGTCCACGACCACGATCAGCCCGTGGACTCCGCTCGCGAACGCGCCGTCGGGAGAGCGGTAATAGTGGCCGGCGGCCCGCAAGCCGGGCTCGGTGCCCGATTCGAGCGTGTTGATGGGGTCGCGCGCGCGTGCGGGCCATGCGGCGTCACCGTCATGGCCATCTGCGCGCGCTCACGTGTGACGCGCACGCTCCCGCCAGTCACCAGGTCCTCGGGCGCCGCCTCCAACTCGTCCGAGGCAAGGTTCAGCGCTCGCGCTCGGACGGCCCTGGCCGCGCCGAGCGCCGCACTGCCGCCGATCACCGCCGAACGGCTGGCGAAGTGCCGACGCCCCAGGCGAAGACGATCGCTCCGCCCGCTTTCGACCACCACCTGCTCGGGCGCGACGCTCAGGGTCTCCGCCACCACCTGCGCGAGCGTCGTGTGATGGCCCTGCCCCTGCGAGGGAATAGCCGGTCGTCACGTGCACGTGGCCGGTGGGCTCCACCCGCACCTCGACGCCCCTCGTAGGTCGGCGATGCCGGTGCCCGGCGACAAGAAGGCATGCCGGTCGCCGCGGAAATGATTCCTGCTCGCGCGCCGCCGGCTGGCTGCGCTTCACGCCCGCGTAGTCGAGTGCGTCGAGAGTCTCGCGAGCTGGGCAGGATAGTCGCTGTCGCGGTGGATGAGCGGCGTGTTGCCCTGGAAGATGCGTCCGCGAATCGGCCAGGGCAGTCCGTCGAGGCCGCACCATTTGCGCCGCGCACAGAGTGCTGCGGCCGCAATCCCGGGAACCTAGAAAGCTTCAGCTGGTGCGAAAGCCAGATGAGTTCAAAATAAAGATCCGTCTGGGAAAATCCACAGTAGCGAAGTGTATAAATACCTAATGAAGGCAGGAGACGTTAAGCCTGCCGGGGACACTGCAGAGGTCCAGTGTAAGGGTGGCTATACAACAGGAGAGAACGCCCGTATGGTGTGCACATAGGCGCGATGACCTCGATACATCCGTGTGGCGATCAACTGCCGGGATCATTGTAGGGACGGCAAGACACATGAGGCCGAAAATGTGTGGGCCTCACTGTGGACAATATTGAAACCACGGACTGTCGGGGCCGTATGAGGGCTGTGCGTCATAGGTGACCGTGCGCGCCGGCTGTCGTGTCGTCTGAAGTGGGTCCTCTGTGATCCCGACGGATGTGCCGTTCCGTCGCATCGCCGCACGTTCGTCGAGTGCGACACGTGCCTGCACCATCAGCCGCTCTGTGGGGTTGGAGCGCGACTGTGAAAGTGCACTCGCCGTTGCCGTCCCTCGCTGCCACATCTGCAGACGGCGCGGCCGATCAAGCCGAGCTGCGAAGGGGTCCATGATCACTGTCCTCGGCGTACGACCAAGGAAGATTCCTTGACATGGCTGCCGACAGCGCGACCCCGCCTCCAGCGCCAATCGTCCTGCGCACGCGCGTGGGCGCGATCGACGGGTGTGTTTGGCGCGCGTCCTGACTCCCGTCATCCCATCTGTCTCCGTCCAAGTCACAGTCCGCCCGGGCCGCCACCGCGCGCCTGTATGTGGGGTAATCCGCCAGATCGTGGACGCTCGTCGAGGACTCGGGCCGTCGTAGTTCCATTCGTGGTGCTACCCTCACTACCAGCGTAACTGCGGACGCGTGCTGAGTGCAGCGGGAACCGTCCTCCATCGGCTGGGCCGCGCCCCGCTCGGGCCGGAGCTCCTCGCGCACACGAAATCGGCCGCGGCGAAGGCGCTCTCGATATTCCCCGCTCCGATCGGCGGTGCGGCAGGCGATGTTGGAATCGGTGTCGTCGTGGACGAGCGGCGCGCCCGGCTCCGCCGCAGCGACGAGATCGACCGCCGCCGCCTCGGGCGCATAGTCGCCGCGATCAGGTCCAGCGCGTCCTCGGCGAGATAGCGGCTGTCGGCGACCACCAGCGCCACCGCCTCGCCCACGAAACGCACCTGGCCCGGTGCCAACGCCTGATGGGTGCGCGGGTGATGAAGCCGGGGTCTTCGTTGAGCAGCGGCATGGGCGCGTTGGCGGAGCCCAGGTCCTCGTGGGTAATCACCGCGTGCACGCCGGGGAGCGCGAGCGCGGTGCGCGCATCGATGCGCGTGAAGCGCGCCTTGGCGTGGGGGCTGCGCAGCACCGCCGCGTGCAGCATGCCCGGCAGGTGGATGTCGTCGATGAAGCGCGCCCGCCCGGTGAGCAGACGCGCATCCTCCCGCCGCTCGACCGGCTCCCCGATCAGCCGCGTGGTCATGAGTCTTCGCCTCGCAGCATTGCCGCGGCCCGACGAACCGCCGCCACGATCTGCTGGTAGCCGGTACAGCGGCAGAGATTGCCCGAGAGCGCGCGGCGAATCTCTGCGTCGGTCGGCGCCGGGTTGGCGGCGAGGAAGGGCTTGAGCGTCATCAGAATACCGGGCGTGCAATAGCCGCACTGCAGCCCGTGCTCGCGGCGGAAGGCTTCCTGCAGCGGGTGCAGCGTCTCGCCGTCCGCGAGCGATTCCACCGTCTCCACGAGGCGCCGTCCGCCTGCACCGCGAACATCAGGCAGAGAGCGCACCGGCTTGCCGTCGAGCAGCACGGTGCAGGCGCCGCAGACCCCGTGCTCGCAGCCCACATGAGTGCCGGTAAGGCCTATCTCGTGCCGAATGAAGTCCGAGAGCAGGAGCCTGGGCTCGACCCGCCGCTCGTGGGCCTCGCCGTTGATGGTCACGCGCACGCTGCGCTCGTGGTCAGCCATTTTGAGGACCCATTCGCATCGCCGCCTCGCGGCAGGCGCGCCGTGTGAGCGCCGACACGAGCTTTCTGCCGTACCAGGCGGGCGCGTGGGGGTCGTCCGCCGCATCGCAGGCCTCGGCCGCGGCGTTGCCCACCGCCTCGCCGGCTTCGCCGTCCGTTCCCCGCTCAGTCAGGACAGCCTCCGCTGAACGCATGCGCACGGGCCCGTCTCCGGTCCCGGTGACCACGACGCGGGCGTCGATCCGCCCGGAGCCAGTTGGCCTTAGACAGGATCGCGACCGCCACGAGCGCGAAATCCCCCTGGCGGCGCGCGGCCTCCTGAAAGCCCCAGCCGGTGCCCTCGGGGAGTGCCGGAACAGCGATCTCGGTCAGAAGCTCGTCCGCGCCGAGCGCCGTCTCCATCGTGCCGGCGAAGAAGTCACGCGCCGCGATGGTCCGCTGACCTTGCGGGCCCTGCGCGCTCATCTCGGCATCGAGCGCCAGCATCACCGCCGGCAGCTCGGCGGCCGGATCGTTGTGGGCAAGGCTGCCGCCGACGGTACCGCGGTTGCGAATTTGCGGGTGAGCGATGTGGCCGATGGCCTCGGTCAGCAGCGGCCAACCGCGCGCCACGCGGGCATCGGTCTCGACCGAAGCCTGGCGGGCCATGGCGCCGAGCCGGAGCGCACCGTCTTCGACCGTGATCCGGGCGAGCGCCTCGATGCGGTTGAGATCGACCAGAACCGCGGGCCGCGCCAGGCGGAAGTTGAGCAACGGCACCAGGCTTTGCCCGCCGGCGAGCGGCCGCGCATCCCCGCCATGCGCCGCGAGCAATGCCACGGCCTCGGCCACATCGCTCGGGCATTCATAGGCGAATGGCGCAGGTTTCATCGCCTCGCGCGACCCCGCTGTCGATCCGAAAGGCCCCGATCTTATACCGGCGCAGGGCTGCGGGTCAGTCCGGGGTCTCATCGTCCCTGACCCCGGCGCGGAGCGCGTAGACGAGCTCCAGCGCATCCCGCGGGGTGAGGTCGTCGGGGTTGATCTCGGCGAGGCGAGCCCGCAGCGGATCGGGCGCCGGTTCCGCCTGGGCTGGGCGCCGCCTGCGGGCGGGCCTGGAAGAGCGGCAGGTCGTTGGCGAGCCGGGCGGCAGCATTGGCTTTGTCGCCCTGTTCGAGCAGCGCCAGCACCTCCTCGGCGCGGGCAAGCACCGCTTCGGGCAAGCCTGCGAGGCGCGCCACGTGGATGCCGTAGGAACGATCGGCCGCGCCCGGTGCGCCACCTCGTGCAGGAACACGACCTTGCCCTGCCATTCCTTGATCCGCATGGTGTGGCAGGCGAGCCGGTCGAGCTTTTGGGCAAGCGCCGTGAGCTCGTGATAATGGGTCGCGAAGAGCGACCGGCAGCGGTTGCTATCGTGCAGGTGCTCGATTGCGGCCCAGGCGATCGAGAGCCCGTCATAGGTGGCGGTGCCCCGCCCGATCTCATCGAGATCACCAGGGCGCGCTCGCCGGCCTGATTGAGGATGGCGGCGGTCTCCACCATCTCCACCATAAAGGTCGAGCGGCCTCGCGCCAGATCGTCCGCCGCGCCCACACGGGAGAAGAGACGATCCACCACGCCGATGCGGGCTTCGTCGGCGGGCACGAACGAGCCCATCTGGGCCAGCACCGCGATCAGCGCATTCTGGCGCAGGAAGGTGCTCTTGCCGGCCATGTTGGGGCCGGTGACCAGCCAGATCCTGCCCGCATCGCCGAGCTCGCAGTCGTTGGGGACGAAGGGCGTGTCTCCGCCCGCACCCATCGCCTCGACCACCGGGTGCCGGCCGCCCCTGATCTCGAATGCGAGCGTGCGGTCGACGACCGGCCGCACGTAGCGGCGCTCGACCGCGAGCAGCGCCAGCCCCTGGGCCACGTCGAGCACCGCGAGCGCGCCGGCGGCACGCGCGATATCGTCCGCCCGGCGGACGACATCGGCGCGGAGATCGTCGAAGTGTGCCTGCTCGAGCGCGAGCGCCTTCTCGGCCGCGCCGTTGATCCGCGCTTCGAGCTCGCCCAGCTCCACGGTCGTGTAGCGGACGGCGCTGGCAAGGGTCTGCCGGTGAATGAAGGCCTCGGGCAGCGCCTTGGCCCGCTGTGGTGGCACCTCGACGTAGTAGCCGAGCACGTTGTTATGGCGCACCTTGAGCGCGCCCACGCCAGTCTCGCTGCGGTAGCGGGCCTCCAGCCCGCCGACCAGGCGCCGGCTGTGGTCGCGAAGCTCAACCACCTCGTCGAGCGCCGTATCGTAGCCGCGCGCGATGATGCCGCCGTCCCGGATGCCGGGCGGCGGGCTCTCCACCAGGGCGCGCGTCAGGCGGTCGACGAGGGTCTGGTGATGCCCGAGTGCCTTGAGAGAGGCCGCGAGCGCCGGTGGCGGCGCCTGCAGGCCTTGAGTGCTGTCGGCGTCGAAGGCATCGCGGATCGCCGGAATCTGACCGAGCGCGTCGCGCACCGCGGCGAGGTCGCGCGGCCCGCCGCGGCCGAGGCTGAGCCGTGAGAGCGCACGCTCCATATCCGGGCAACGCCGCAGCCGCTCCCTGAGGCCATGCCGCGCGCCCTCGGCCTCGACGAGAAAACCGACCGAATCGAGCCGCTCGGCGATGGCGTCCGGGTCGGTTAGCGGCGCTGTGAGCCGTGCCCTGAGCAGCCGGGCGCCGGCGCCGCTCACGGTACGGTCGATGCCCGCAAGCAGGCTGCCGGCGGCGCCCCCTTCCAGCGTCGCCGTGAGTTCCAGGTTGCGCCGGGTCGCGGCGTCGATCGCCATCGCTGCCCCGGCCGCGGTCGAGCGGAGCCGCGCGAGCCGGGGTAGTTGGCCCTTCTGGGTAAGCCTGAGATAGCCGAGCACGGCGCCCGCCGCCGCGAGCTCCGCCCGGCTAAAACTGCCGAGGCCGTCGAGGGAGGCAATGCCGTAGAAGGCTGCGAGCGCGCGCCCCGCGGCCACGCTATCGAAGAGCGAGCGCGGCTGGGGGGTGAGGACCGCCTTCCACTCAGCGAATACCTCGAAGAGCGCTCGGCGCTTCGAGCAAAGGCTCGGGCACCAGGAGTTCGCCGGGCTCGAAGCGCGCGAGCGTTGCGGGCAGAGAGGACTCCAAGACACCCATCACTGCGAATTCGCCGGTGGACATCTCGGCCCACGCCAGCGCCAGCGCCCCCTCGGCCTGGGCGAGCGCTGCGAGATAGTTGGCCGCGCGCGCATCCAGCAGCGCGTCCTCGCTCAGCGTCCCCGGCGTCAACAGCCGGATCACCTCGCGGCGCACGACCGCCTTTGCGCCGCGCTTGCGCGCCTCTGCCGGGTCCTCGACCTGTTCGCACACCGCGACCTTGAAGCCCTTGCGGATGAGCCGCTGGAGGTAACCCTCGGCGCTCACCACGGGCACCCCGCACATGGGGATCTCTTGCCCCTGGTGGAGGCCCCGCTTGGTGAGTGCGATGTCGAGCGCGTCCGAGGCCTGCCGCGCATCGTCGAAGAAGAGCTCGTAGAAGTCGCCCCATCCGGTAGAAGAGGAGGTGGTCCGGGTTGGCGCCCTTGATTTCGAGATACTGCGCCATCATCGGCGTCGCCGGTTCCACACGGCGGGTGCGTGGCCGGCCCCGGCGGGCGCCGCGGGCGGCGGCCGGCGCGGCGGTCGCTTGCGCCTCGGCGTCATTGGGCATGGCGCAAAAGTAGCACAAGGAGGGCACCGCGTTTCGCGCCTGACGGCGGCGCCTTTGACATCTGTTCGTCACACATTCGTCATGCTTAGGGCGAGAACCCTTTGGTAACTCTGGCGCCCGAAACCACGCTCCGAAGGAGAGCTGATCGATGGCGGCGCGCGTTGTTCCGCTTCGCCGGTGGGGGCGGCTCAGCCTTGCGGCATCGTTGCCGCTTGGAATCGCCTTCCTGGTGCTTGCCCTGCTCGGCCTCACGCCAGCCATTGCGGCGGTGCTGGCCTGGGCGGGCTTGAGCTTGCTCGCGGCCGCAGTGGCCGGCCTGATGCTGGCAGAGGTCGGCGCGCTGGCGCGCCATGTGGAGGACTCCACCGGGAGTGAGGGCGAAGCACACCCGAACCCCGCGTCGGCGGGCCTCCTTACCCGCGAGCTCGCGGCATCGGTCGAGCGCCTGGCCCGGCTCGGCGCCGAGGACCGGGCGCAGCTCGCGAGCGAGAGGGCCGAGCTCGAACGCGCGCTCGATGCCTTGCCCGAGCCGCTCCTCCTGCTGGATGCCGAGCGCAAGATCGTGCGTGCCAACCGGGCGGCCGAATCGCTCCTCGACGGCAAGGTGATCGGGCGCCACATCGCTGCGTCGCTGCGCAATCCGCAGCTGATCGAAGCGGTCGAGCAGACCCTCGAGGGTGCCGGTGGGCGCGACATCGAGTTCACGCTGCAGCGCCGGTCGAACGGACCTTCGCGGCGCGGGTGGAGCCGCTGCCCGAGCCGAGGGAGGGCGGTGCTGCCGTTCTACTCGCGCTCGTCGACTTCACGGCGGTGCGCCGCACCGATCAGATGCGGGCGGACTTCGTCGCCAATGCGAGCCACGAGATCAGGACACCCCTGGCCACGCTGATGGGATTCATCGAGACGCTGCAGGGGTCCGCCCGCGACGACCCCGCCGCGCGCGAGCGCTTCCTCGCCATCATGGATCAGCACAGCAAGCGCATGGCGCGCCTTGTCGAGGACCTGCTCTCACTCTCACGCATCGAGATGAACGAGCACAGCCGCCGACCGAAGCGGTGCCGCTCTCCTCTATGCTCGCCAACGTGCACAACACGCTCGCGTGGCAGGCGGAGAAGCGCGGCGTGACCGTCGCCATCGACGCTGAAGACGGCCTGCCGCCCGTGATCGGCGACGGCGACGAGCTCACCCAGGTGTTTCTCAACCTGGTCGACAACGCGATCAAATACGGCGATGCCGAGGGAACCGTCAGCGTGGAGGCGCGCCAGGTGGCGGAGGCGCAGGCGGCCGGCTGGATGGCAGGAAAAGACGGCGCGGTTGCAGTCTCTGTCGTTGACCGGGGCGCGGGTATTCCGCGCGAGCATCTGCCGCGGCTCACGGAGCGCTTCTACCGCGTGGACAAGGCGCGCTCGCGCGAACTGGGCGGCACCGGCCTCGGGCTCGCCATCGTCAAGCACATCGTGAACAGGCACCGCGGCGCGCTCGCCATCGACAGCACACCCGGCGAAGGCAGCACGTTCACTGTCTACCTGCAGCCGGCCCCGGTGGCCGAGGATGCAGCCCTGAAAGCGGCGGCGCAGCCAGCAGGCGACACGGCCAGCGGGCGGGCAGACGAACCGTCCGAAATACCCGTCACAAAATCGTAACGAAACCGACTTATCCCTGAACCAGCCCGTTCGTAGGGTGCGGCAAGCGCTCGCTCGACCGGGCGCAAGGTGCAGGGGCGGCCGACGGCGTGCAGCTCACCATTCTTCTCATCGCGATCCTGGCACTCGCGGTCATCGGCCTCTACTTCGGCCGCCGGCGGGCGCTCAGCGCGGCTGGCAGCAATCTCGGCAAGCTCCACTCGATGCCGAGCTATCACGGCTGGTACGTGGCGCTTTGGTGCGGCATCCCCTCCGGCATCGTCCTCATCGTCTGGCTGATTATCGAGGCGCCGATCCTGGAGGCGCTGTTGCTCTCCTACTGGGCCCGGCGGTGGCGGAGCAGTCGGACGCGATGATCGGCCTCTTGCTCAACGATGTGCGCAATCTGGCCTCAGGCGACGTGGTAAGCCGCGAGGTCGACCCGGCCATGCAGGCGGCGGCCGACCGCTACGCCAGCATGAAATCGACGGCGCAAGCCGCGGTGCTGGCTATCGGCGTGGCCTTGGGCGGGCGCCGGATTCGGCTGGGCTTGGCGGCGCATTGCGCCCGGTTTGCGCGCGCGCAACAAGGTCGAGCGGGTGGTGAACATCGCGCTCATCCTCTCCTCCTGCGTCGCCATCGTCACCACCATCGGCATCGTTCTCTCGGTGCTGTTCGAATCGATCCGCTTTTTCTCGATCATCCCCTTCTGGGATTTTTTGTTCGGCCTGCAATGGAGCCCGCAGACGGCCATCCGCGCCGATCAGGTCGGCAGCACCGGTGCGTTCGGCGCCATCCCGCTCTTCACCGGCACGCTGATGATCACGCTGATCGCCATGCTGGTTGCGCTCCCGTGGGCCTCTTCGCCGCCATCTACATGGCCGAATTCGCGAGCCCCAGGTTCCGCAACGTGGCGAAGCCGATCCTGGAAATCCTCGCCGGCGTGCCCACGGTGGTCTATGGCTTCTTCGCGGCGCTGGTGGTGGCACCGTCGATCAGGGGGATTGGCGAATCGATCGGCCTCGACGTGGCGTCCGAGAGCGCGCTCGCCGCCGGCGTCGTCATGGGGATCATGGTCATCCCCTTCATCTCGTCGCTGAGCGACGATGCCATCGTCGCCGTGCCCAATTCGCTGCGCGAAGGCTCGCTCGCCATGGGGGCGACCAAGTCGGAGACCGTGGTCAGGGTGATCCTGCCGGCGGCGCTGCATGGAATCGTCGCCGCCTGCCTGCTCGCGGTGAGCCGCGCCATCGGCGAGACCATGATCGTGGTGATGGCCGCAGGCCTCGCCGCCAACCTCACCGCCAATCCGCTCGACGCGGTAACCACCGTCACAGTGCAGATCGTGACGCTGCTCGTCGGCGATCAGGAGTTCGACAGCGCCAAGACCCTCGCCGCCTTCGCACTGGGGCTGATGCTCTTCATCGTGACATTGGCGCTCAACATCTTCGCGCTCCACATCGCGCGCAAGTACCGAGAGCAATATGACTGACCTCGCAGAGCCGGCGCTCGGCGGCGCCTGGCAGGATGCTGACTGGGCGAAGCGCCGCCTCCGCCGGCGCTACCGCGCCGAGCGGCGCTTCAAAGATCTACGGCATCATCGCGGTGGCCGTCGCTCTCGCCTTCCTGGCGCTCCTGATCGGCAGTGTCATCGCCGAAGGCTACCCCGCCTTCGTGAGGACCTCGGTCGCGCTCGAGGTCAGCTTCGATCCCAAGGTCCTCGGCGTGGGCGAAGCCCCGAGCGCGGACGAGCTTCGAAAAGCAGACTACGGCAGGCTCTTGAGAGAATCCGTCTTTGCCACCTTCCCTGAGGTGACAGCGCGGAAGGAGCGGCGCAAGTTGCTCAAGCTCGTGAGCACGTCAGCGCGCTTCGAGTTGCGCGGTCTGGTGGTGGACGATCCTTCGATCATCGGCACAACGCGGCGCGTCTGGCTCACCGCGTCCAGCGATGTTGACATGCTGATCAAGGGGAGCGCGCCCCGCGACGTGCCGGAAGACGAGCGCCGGCTCGACGACCAGCAGATTGCCTGGATCGACACCTTCGATGCCGCCGGCTTCGTGGAGACCGTGGTTCAACGGCGAATTTTTCGTCAACGCAGATTCGCGGGAACCTGAAATTGCAGGCATTGGTGGCGCGATCGCAGGCTCGTTCTACATGCTGCTGGTCACGCTTGTGCTGACCTTCCCGATCGGCGTGACCGCAGCCATCTATCTTGAGGAGTTTGCGCCCAAAACCGCATCACCGACCTGATCGAGGTCAACATCAACAACCTCGCCGCGGTGCCCTCCATCGTGTTCGGGCTGCTTGGGCTCGCGGTGTTCATCAACCTGTTCCACCTGCCGCGCTCCGCGCCCATCGTGGGCGGGCTCACGCTCACGCTGATGACGCTGCCGACGATCATCATCGCGGCCCGCTCTGCGCTCAAGGCGGTGCCGCCCTCCATCCGCGAGGGCGCCTACGGCGTCGGCGCGTCGCCGATCCAGGTCGTCTTCCACCATGTGCTGCCGCTCGCCATGCCCGGCATCCTCACCGGCACGATTATCGGCATGGCGCGCGCGCTGGGCGAGACCGCGCCCCTCCTGATGATCGGGATGGTGGCCTTCATCGTGGACATCCCCGGCGGCCCCTTCGATCCGGCGACGGCGCTGCCGGTGCAGATCTTCCTCTGGGCGGACAGCCCGGAGCGCGGCTTCGTCGAGAAGGTCTCGGCGGCAATTCTCGTGCTGCTGGCCTTCCTCATCCTGATGAACGCGGTGGCGATTTATCTCAGGCGCAAAATTCGAGATCCGCTGGTAGGCGGGCGGGGGTGGTATCGTGACCGACGACACCGACGGAGTGGTCTCACTGATGATGGAGGAGACGGGCGCTCCCGCAGCCGCACCCGTCGGCGCCCGTGCCGAGGCGCCAGCACTCACCAGGATGCGCGCGCGCGACGTCAACGTCTTCTATGGCGAGAAGCAAGCGCTCTTCGATGTCGACATCGATCTGGCCCAGAACAAGGTAACGGCGCTGATCGGCCCGTCGGGCTGCGGCAAGTCCACCTTCCTGCGCTGTCTCAACCGCATGAACGACATCATCGACATCTGCCGGGTGACCGGATCGATCACGCTGGATGACCGGGACATTTACAGCCGCGATATCGACGTGGTGCAGTTGCGGGCGCGCGTCGGCATGGTGTTCCAGAAGCCCAATCCGTTCCCGAAGTCGATCTACGAGAACGTGGCCTACGGCCCACGCATCCACGGGCTCGCCAGCAAGGGCCGAGAGCTCGACGATGTTGTCGAACAGAGCCTCCGACGTGCCGGCCTCTTCGACGAAGTCTCCGACCGGCTCCAACAACCGGGCACCAGCCTCTCCGGCGGGCAGCAGCAGCGGCTTTGCATTGCGCGTGCCATCGCCATCAGCCCCGAGGTCATCCTGATGGACGAGCCCTGCTCGGCCCTGGACCCCATCGCCACAGCGAAGGTGGAGGAGTTGATCGACGAGCTCAGGGAGCACTACACGATCGCCATCGTCACCCACAATATGCAGCAGGCCGCCCGGGTTTCCCAGTTCACCGCGTTCTTCCACCTGGGCGAGCTGGTGGAGTTCGAGGCGACCGAGCAGATCTTCACCAATCCGCACGATCAGCGGACGCAGGACTACATCACCGGGCGCTTCGGCTAAACAAGGGCGCGGGCGGAGGATAAGGAGAGCGACCGATGGCTGCCGAGCACACGGTCAAGGCCTATGACGAGGAGCTGGATCGCATGAACAACGCGATCCTGGAGATGGGCGGCATCGTCGAGCAGCAGCTCGCCGCTTCGATCGCTTCGCTGGCCCGCCGCGACGACGAACTCGCCTCGCGCGTCATCACCGACGATCGCCGTGTGGACGCGCTGGAGGCCGAGATCGACCAGCTCGCGGTACGCATCTTGGCACTGCGCCAGCCGGTGGCGGTCGACCTCCGCGTCATCACCGCCTCGCTCAAGATTGCGAGCGACCTCGAGCGAATGGGGGACTACGCCGCCAACGTCGCCAAGCGCTCTATCGCCATCCAGGAAATCGACCCCATCCGCCTCACCCACGCGATCTCGCGCATGGCGGGCATCGCCCAGGGCATGATCAAGGACGTGCTCGATTCCTTCCGCGACCGCGATGTGGAGCGCGCCATGGCGGTCTGGCGGCGGGACGAGGATGTCGACGAATCCTACAACAGCCTTTTCCGCGAGCTGCTCACCTACATGATGGAGGATCCGCGCCGCATCACGCCGTGCGCGCACCTGCTCTTCATCGCAAGAACATCGAGCGGATCGGCGATCATGCGACCAACATCGCCGAGACCGTGAGCTATGTGGTGACCGGCACCCCGGTGGAGGAAGAACGGCCCAAGGGCGACGTCACATCCTTCCACCAGGCAGATGACGATTCGGAGGCGACTGAGCCATGAAGCCCTACATTCTGGTCGTCGAGGATGAGGCGGCGCTGCTCACGCTGCTCCGCTACAACCTGGAGAAAGGCGGCTTCGAGGTGGGCGAGGCCGTCGACGGCGAAGAGGCGCTGCTCATGGTCGACGAGCGGCGCCCCGACCTGATGGTGCTCGACTGGATGTTGCCGACGCTTTCCGGCATCGAGGTCTGCCGCAGGATCAGGCGCAAGCCGGACGCGCAGCCGCTCCCCATCGTCATGCTCACGGCGCGCGGCGAAGAGGCGGACAGGGTGCGCGGCCTCGACGGCGGCGCCGACGACTATGTCGTCAAGCCCTTCTCACCGGCCGAGCTTCTGGCCCGCATCCGCGCGATCTTGAGGCGCATGCGGCCTGCGCTCGGCGACGAAGTACTGAACTATGACGACCTCAGGATGGACCTCGCCGCCCACAAGGTCACACGCGGGGAAGCGCCGGTCCATCTCGGGCCGACCGAGTTCCGGCTGCTGCGCCACCTGATGGAGCATCCGGGCCGCGTCTTCTCGCGCGAGCAGCTCCTCGATTCGGTCTGGGGCCCGGACATCTTCATCGAGAGCCGGACGGTCGACGTGCACGTGCGCCGGCTGCGCCAGGCGCTCAACGCCGACCGTCGCCCGGACCTGATCAGGACCGTCCGCTCGGCCGGCTACGCCCTCGATTCAAGCGCCGGGATAGACCGTCAAGGGCGCAGGCTGCGTTGACAGCCGCGCCCCCGATGCCGCCATCGGAATTGATGGGGTCTTGCGCCTCAAAGCGACCGATCACGCTCTGCGCACAAGAAAAAGGGGAGCACCTGGGTGCTCCCCTTTCTCGCCGATCGGCGATGGTCGATTAAAAGAAGACCTCGCGTTCCAAGCATGACCTGGGTCACGTCTTCCGAACTGCCGATCTGGCCCCCGATCAGGACGCCCGGCCCGAGCGTGTAGGTCAAATGGGCAAACGTTGAGCCGGCATCAGTAGCTTCATTGTGGCCATACTGGAGGCCCAGCTCCGTCGCCCCTTCGGTCCAGGACGCCCCGACATCGTACTGCATGCCGTCGCCGTGCCATCGTACATGCTGCCGCCGAACGAGATCTGGTCGACGCTGATATTGAGCCCGGCGCGCATGGCGCTTGCGTCATCGCCCCCGCCTCCATTCGAGGCCGTTTCATAGCCGGTACCGAGGGTGAGGGAGCCGCCGTCCATGAAGCCGGTCGAATACGTCACACCGACCGCGGTGTGCTCTCCCATCGGCGGTTGTCCCGGCCGGGCAGAGCCCTCATCGCTGTCCTCGGGCGCGTAGCTCATCCCGAGCGTCACGCCATTGAAGTTGGGCGTGGTGTAGACCACCTTCGCCGCGTCTTCCACTCCGATCCCGGAATAGGTGTTGACGGTCGGCACTGCCGTGCTGAACCACGATAGTTGACGCCGAGCATTCCGCCGATGCCGGCGCCCGGCGCGGCGACCGTGGCATTGAAGGCCGCGCTCTCAGTCCTGCCGATCCTGAGCGAACCGAACGACCCGCTCATCGTGATGTGTGTGCTCGTCGAAAGCCGCGGATCTGCGCCTGAGTTGGCTATTGACTGACCGACTGACCCACTGCCCGTGACGGCCACCGTAATGCCGTTGTCCAGCGTGGTGGACCCGGAAACGCGATCTCGTATACCGTAGTTGATTTCCTGGCCGCGCGTGCGTCATCGCTGTCGCTCGCGAAGCCGACAGCTGCCGTCGTGTAGCCGGCGACGCCGACGGTGACCGGCCCGGCCATCATCTCATCGTCAGCCGCCTGTGCGGCACCGACGAAAGCACCGGCGGCGATCAGAGCCGTCGTGCCGAGTAGCAACTTCTTCATGCGATCCTCCCGATCGATTCGCGCACCCGACATGCGGTACTCCAGTCTATTGCTGTTGCCGGTGCCGAGCGCCCCAACACTGGGCGCACCCTACTCAATATGCTGCGGCTGCGCCAGCCTCGTCGCGGATCGGAAATGGCAAATTCATGTTTGTGCCGCAATTTTCTCCGGCGCTGTGGCACAAATGTCACGAAATTCTACTCACGGCGCGGGCGCGTTCAGGCGCCGCCGGGGCGGCGAAGGCCCGATTGGGCGATGACCTCGGCGATCGCCTGTTCGCCGCGGGGCGCCATCAGGTGCGCGCCGGCGACCCCCTCGATGCCGCGCAGCTCTCGATCAGCTCGACACAGATGCGAATTCCCTCGGCTTGCGAATCCTTGGCGCCGTCGAGGCGGGCGATGACGGCGTCCGGGATATGGACCCCGAAGAGGTTTTCGTTCATCCAGCGCGCCGAGCGTGCCGACCTTATGGGCCCGATGCCGACGATGATGGATGTGCGCTCGGGAATCCCGAAGTCCGCGAGCCAGGCGAGGTAGCGCCTCAGCATCGCCATGTCGAAGCAGAACTGGGTCTGGAAGAAATCCGCGCCCGCGTCGATCTTGGCCTGAAGGCTGGCGGGAGTCTCGCCGGCTTTCGGCTCGCGCGGGGCATCGGCGCCGCCGATCAGCAGCCGGGGCGTGGAGGCGAGGCGCCGCCCGCCGGGGAGCACCGCCTCGTCCCGCATGGTGCGGACCAGCGCCATGAACTCGTTGGACTTGAGGTCGAACACCGGTTTCGTCTCCGGCTGATCGCCGGCCTCGACCGAATCGCCGGTAAGGCAGAGCAGACTGTGCACACCGAGCGCCGCCGCCCCCAGCACATCGGCCTGCAGCGCGAGGCGATTGCGGTCGCGCATGGTGAACTGGAGCACCGGCTCGATGCCTTCGCGGGCCAGGATCGCGGCGGTCGCGAGCGGCGAAAGATGGGCGCGTGCGCCGGCACCGTCGAGCACGTTGACGGCATCGGCGAGCCCCTTGAGGCACCCGGCGTGGGCCAGAACGTCGGCCGGGTCCACCGAATCGGGCGGACCCATCTCCGCCGTTATGGCGAACTCGCCTGCGCGCAGCACGCGTTCCAACCGACCTGCGCTCTTCGCCTCATTCGCCATCGTTCGCTCCGCTGCCCGTATCGATTGTGCCGCCTGCGGCCGCGGCCGTTGACACATGAACGACCGCCCGACCGACGGCCGCGCCGACCATAAGGGGCGGCCTTGGCACAATCCAGGGTGCTGCCTTGCCGGCCGCTCAGAGAAGCCGCTGGCGCGCCTTGAGCGCAGTGCCCAGCGTGCCGTCGTCGAGATAGTCGAGCTCGCCACCGACCGGCAGACCGTGGGCGAGGCGGGAGATCGCGACGTCGCTCTCAGCGAGCCGGTCGGCCACATAGTGCGCCGTGGTCTGCCCGTCCACGGTCGCGCTGGTGGCGAGGATGATCTCGCTGACTTCCGGCGCGCCGGCACGCGCGACGAGAGCCGCGATGGCGAGGTCCTCCGGCCCGATCCCGTCCAGCGCAGAGAGCAGGCCACCCAGCACGTGATAGCGACCGCGGAACATCAGCGTGCGCTCCAGCGCCCAGAGATCCGCGACCTGCTCGACGACGCAAATGGCCGCGCGGTCGCGCTCGGGATCGGCGCAGATCGCGCAAGGATCCTGAGCATCGAGATTGCCGCAGACGGAGCAGGCGCGGACGCTTTCGGCCGCAGTGCGGAGCGCGACGAGCAGCGGCTCCAGGTGCGATTCGCGCCGCTCCAGCAGGTGCAGGGCGGCACGGCGCGCAGAGCGCGGCCCGAGACCGGGGAGCTTGCCGAGATGCCCGACCAGCCGCTCGATCGCCGGGCTCGTCATCGCCAATCGTCGCTCGCGAAAGGGCCGCGACGCGCGCTCAAAGACCGAGGTCGAGACCCGGCGGCAGTTTGAGGCCGCCGGTGACCTCGGCCATCCGTTCCTGAACGAGCTGCTCGACCCTGGCCTTGCCGTCGTTGAAGGCGGCGACGATGAGGTCTTCCAGCACCTCCACCTCGTCGTCCTTCACCAGCGCCGGGTCGATGGAGAGGCGGCGCATCTCCCCCTTGCCCGTGAGCGTCACCCGCACCAGGCCGCCACCGGCGGTTCCCTCGATCTCGAGCGTGCCGAGACTCTCCTGCAGCTCGGCCATCTTGGTCTGCATGGCCTGCGCCTGCTTCAGCATCTTGCCGATGTTCTTCATGAGGAGAGCCTCCGTCGTTTCCGCCGCCCGGCGGCAATGGGGTCGTCGTCCGATGCACCTTGCGCACGCGCGCGCCGGGGAAGGCGTCGAGGACCTGACGCACCAGGGGGTGGTCCATCGCCGCCCTGTCGGCCGCTTCCTGCGCGGCCCGATCCTGCTCCTCGAGGGTCGGCTCGCCCCCGCCCTCGCTCAGCGCGATCATCCAGCGCTCGCCGGTCCACTCCTGAAGCCTGTCCCGAAGGAGGTCCAGCATCCTGCGGTCTGGCGAGCGGCCGCAATTGATCTCGACTGCGCCGGCGCCGACCCGCACCGGGCGCACCTCGGTCCTGAGCCACGCGCTGAGGATCGGTTCGCGCCGCTCCTCGGCGAGCACGGCGATTGCCGCGAGCGAGTCCAGGCGCGGCCCTGGTGCGCTCGCCGGCGTCGGATCGGGCACGGGCGCCGGCGGCGGCGCTGTTGCGGGAGCGGGTTCGGCCGCAGTGGCGGCAGTAACGATGCCGGCGGTTGCAGCGCCTCCCGGTGCCGGCGCGGGGGCAGATGGCTCGGGCGCCTCTTTCGGACGCGCGCCCGCGCCGCCGCCGCCGATGGCGCGGAGCGCATCGGCCGGGCTCGGCAGGTCGGCGGCGTAGGCGATCCGCACCAGCGTCATCTCGGCCGCAAGCGCCGGACGCGCCGCCCGGCTGGTCTCCTCAAGACCTTTCAGCAGCATCTGCCACGTCTGGGTAAGCGACGGCACCGTCAACGCCTCGGCCATGGCGCGCCCGCGCGTGCGTTCCACCTCGGGCACCGCTGGGTCGTCCGCTGCGGCGGGCACATGCTTCAGCCGGGTCAGCCAGTGGCAGAGCTCCAGCAGGTCCTGCAGCAAACGCCTGGGGCTCCGCGCCCGCATCGTGGAGCTCTGAGAAGCAGTCCAGCGCGTCCTTGATCGCGCCCTTCATCAGCATGTCGAAGAGGTCGAAGAGCCGGGTCCGGTCCGCGAGCCCCAGCATGGCCCGCACCGCCTCTTCGGTGATGCGCGTGCCCTCGTGGACCATCGCCTGGTCGAGCACGGAGAGCCCGTCCCGCACCGAGCCGTCGGCGGCGCGGGCGATGAGCGCGAGCGCCGCGGGCTCCACCTCGGCACCCTCGTCGGCCGCGATCCGCGAGAAATGCTCGATCAGCACCTCCATATCGACCCGGCGCAGGTCGAAACGCTGGCAGCGCGAGAGCACCGTCACCGGCAGGCGCCGCACCTCGGTCGTCGCGAACACGAATTTGACGTGGGGCGGCGGCTCCTCCAGCGTCTTGAGCAGCGCGTTGAAGGCCTGCTTCGAGAGCATGTGCACTTCGTCGATGATGTAGACCTTGTAGCGCGCCGAGACGGGGCGATAGCGCACGCTCTCGATCAGCTCGCGCACGTCGTCGATGCCGGTGCGCGAGGCCGCGTCCATCTCGATGACGTCGACGTGGCGGTCCTCGGCGATCGAGACGCAGTGGTCGCACGTACCGCAGGGGTCGGGCGTCGGGCCGCCGGTTCCGTCCTCGCCGATGCAATTGAGCGCGCGCGCGATGATCCGCGCGGTCGAGGTCTTGCCCACCCCGCGCACGCCCGTCAGCAGATAGGCGTGAGCCAGGCGATCCATCGCGATCGCGTTGCTCAGCGTGCGGACGAGGGGGTCTTGGCCGATCAGGCCGGCGAAGCTTGCCGGCCGGGTACTTGCGCGCGAGCACGCGATAGGCGGCGGCGTCCTCGCTCATCGGTGCATCGGCGTCCTTCGGCCCACAGTGCGCGGCGGGCGGCGCGTCCGGTTGGCGGCAGGAGACCGGCAGACGACCCGGCTTGAAACTCGTTACGGCTGCTTCCTTCCGGATCTGACCGGGTTAGCGAGAAAGCCGTCCGCAGCCGATCTCCCGCAGCCACTATAGCAGGTGCCGCCGGCGCCGACACAGCGCCCCATGACAATGACTGACGACCGCGAGGTGGTGGATTTGAGGCGGACCGGGCCGTCAGGCCCGGACGGCGCGGCTGCGCCGCGCGCCGAATGGCGCGTAGCCAAGCGAGCGTCGCGCGATCGCGCGCGGGAGCGATGCGAACCCCCGGCGATTGAGGGAAAAGTATTAAGTGCGCGCGCGGCGTTTACGCCGCGCGCGCTGCCAGATCGGCAAAATAGGCGAGCACGGCCTCGGTGTCTGTCACGTCGGCGGAGCAGCGGTTCATGTCGAACAGGTTGATCTCGTGAGAGATGGGCAGACGGTCGAACACCGCGTCCTGCCGGTACGATGGTGCGATAGTTGTACGAGAAGGCGTCGAAGACCGTGGCGCGGACGCAGTTGCAGGTAGCGCCGCCGGTGACGATCAGCGTATCGATGGCGCGGTCGATCAGATAGGGCAGGAGAGGCGTGCCGTGGAACGAACTGGGTTTCTTCTTGGTGAAGACCAGATCGCCGGGCTCGGGCGCCACCGCGTCCACGATCGCGCTGCCGTGCGTGCCCTCGAAATAGACGTTCTCCCCCGCCTCGGCGCCGATCTTGGCGTCGAAGAGTCCGGCGTCGCCGACGGTGCGGTCGATGGCGAAGCGGGTATAGATCACCGGTGTCCGGGCGGCGCGGGCCGCGCCGACGATGCGCTTGGTCTGCTCGACGGCGGCCCAGCCGGAAGCGCAGCTATAGGGGTAGGCGCCGAGGTCGTGGTGGCCCTTCTCCCCCACCATGTAGTTCTGCACGTCGATGAGGATGACGGCCGGGTGCGCGCCGAAGCCGACCCGCTTGGCCCAACGGCCGCGTTCGATGGTGGTCCTGTCGTCATCGCTCAGGAAGCGCTGCCAGTCCGGCATCTCAGGCATTGTGGGTCTCCAACCGTGCGTTCCGCGGCTTCCATCATAACCGGGAATTGTTCGCGCCGGGGGCGGCGGTGAGCGGAGATCGCCCCGGGGCGCAAGGCTGGCGGCTCACGGTGACCCTCAGCCGGTCAGACTTCGAGGCGCTGGAGGAAGCGCTCGCAGACCATGCGGACGCCGTGGTGGCCGAGACGGTGTCGGCGGCGCATCCGGCCCGCGATGCGCTGTCGGACGAATTGCGCGCCACCTTGTTCGGCACCGCCCCGGCGGCCGACGATCCAAGGCCCGCGCGGCTGCTGGCGCTGCTCCGCACAGCCGGCGTGGCGCCCGACGGCACGGCCGTCGAGCCCGTGCGCCCGGCCGATTGGGAAGCGAAGTCCCTGGCCTCCTTTCCGCCGGTTGCCGTCGGCCGCTTCACGATTCACGGCGGGCACGAAACGGCCACCCGCAGGCGCTTCGCGCTCTCCATCGACGCCGGCCCCGCATTCGGCTCCGGCCGCCACGAGACGACGCAAGGCTGCCTGCTCGCGCTCGACTGGCTGGCTCGCCGCCGGCGGGTGCGCCGTGCATTCGACATCGGCACAGGCTCCGGAATCCTCGCCGTGGCAGCCGCGCGCCTCTGGCCGGCACAGGTGCTCGCTCTCGATAGCGACCCCATGGCGGTGGCCTGCCGCGCGCGAGACGGTGCGGCAGAACGCGCTCTCCCGCCGCGTGTCGGTGGTTCAGGGCGAGGGCTTCCGCCTGCGTAGCGGTGTGCGGCTCGGACACGCCGATCTGATCTGCGCCAATATCAGGGCGAAACCCATCGCGGCGATGGCGCCGGCCTTCGCGCGGCATCTCAGTCCCGGCGGCGCCGTGGTCCTCTCAGGCCTTCTCACGACGGAGGAAACGCGCGTGCTCGCGGCCTTTCGCGCCGTCCGGCTCAAGCTTTGGCACCGCATACGCTTGGGCGCCTGGGCCACGCTGATATTGACGCCGTAAGCGTCGCACTGGCAGAAACGCCGCCATGTCGGAGAAAAACGCGACGACCGAAAGGCGCGACGCGCTGGCCCAGTGCGCTGGCCGACGCCGGAATCGAGACCCCCATCGACGAGGTCGAGGCACTGGTGCAGGGCGTCGCCGCGGCAGCGGTGCTGGATCGGCACTGGCTGCGCTTGATCCACCCCGACGCCGAGACCAACGGCGCGCTGGCCGAGCGGCTCGAGGCGCTCAGGCAGGCGCACGCCGAGGCGCCGGATGGGATCGACGCCCCGCAGATAGCGGACCGCCTCGCGGCGCTCCGGGCTGAGCTCGCGCGGCGGGGGCTCGACGGCTTCGTGGTGCCGCTCAGCGACGAGCACCAGGGCGAGTACGTGGCGCGGCGCGCGCAGCGCCTGGCCTGGCTCACCGGCTTCACGGGCTCGGCCGGCATGGCGATCGTGCTGGCCGAGCGGGCGGCGCTCTTCGTCGACGGGCGCTATACCCTGCAGGCGGCGGCGCAGGTGGACGGCGCCCTTTACGAGCATCGCCACATCACCGACGAGCCCGCCGACGCGTGGCTGCGGAGCCACCTTTCGGCGGATGCCGCGCTCGGCTACGACCCCAGGCTGCACAGCGCGCACGGCCGCGACCGGCTGGCGGCGCCGTGCCAGGCCGTTGGCGCGCGCCTCGTCGCGTGCGAGGACAATCCCATCGACGCGGTGTGGGACGACCAGCCGCCGCCGCCGCTTGGCCCCATCGGCCCCCACCCGGTGCGCTTCGCAGGCGTCGAAACTGGCGAGAAGCGGCAAACAATCGCCGCCCGGCTCGCAGAGAAGGGTGCCGCCGCCGCGGTGCTGAGCGCGCCCGATTCGATCGCCTGGCTGCTCAACGTGCGGGGCGCCGACGTCGCCAACAGCCCCCTCCCCCATTCCTTCGCCATCGTTCATGGCGAGGGCGATGTCGACTGGTTCGTGGATCGCCGCAAGCTCCTGCCCGAAGTCCCGGCTCATCTTGGCAATGCCGTCAAGGTGCAGGCGCCAGACTCGATGGCAGACGTGCTCGATGGGCTTGCGGAGGCAGGCACGGCAGTGCTGATCGACGAGGCGGCGACGCCGGTCTGGATGGTGGATCGCCTGACGGAGGGCGGCGCCCAGGTAATTCGCGGCACCGATCCCTGTGCGCTGCCCAAGGCGTGCAAGAACGAGGTCGAGCTTGCCGGCATCCGTGCCGCCCATCGCCGGGACGGTGCGGCGCTGACCCGCTTCCTGGCCTGGCTCGCGGCTGCCCCGCCCGGCTCCGTCACCGAGCTGGATGCCGTCGGCCCGTTTGGCGGCGATGCGTGCCGGCGGCGAGGACTTCCGCGGCCCCAGCTTCGACACCATTTCGGGCGCCGGCCCCAACGGTGCCATCGTCCACTACCGGGTGACGGCGGAGACGAACCGCGCGCTGGAGCCGGGCACGCTCTACCTCGTCGACTCCGGCGGGCAGTACTTGGACGGCACCACCGACGTGACCCGCACGGTCGCGATCGGCGCGCCCGAGCCGGAGCATCGGGACCGCTTCACCCGCGTGCTGCGCGGCCATATCGCGCTCGCCCTGGCGCGCTTTCCCGCGCGGCACCACCGGTGCGCAGTTGGACACGCTTGCCCGTCAGTTCCTGTGGCAGGCGGGCCTCGACTACGATCACGGCACCGGGCACGGCGTGGGCCATTACCTGAACGTGCACGAAGGCCCGCAGCGCATCTCGCGCCTGGGCTCGGGCGCGGCGCTCGCGCCCGGCATGGTCGTCTCCAACGAGCCCGGCTACTACAAGACCGGCGCCTACGGCATCCGCATCGAGAATCTGGTGGCGGTGACCGAAGCCGATGGGGCCGATAGCGGCTTCCTCGGCTTCGAGACGCTCACGCTCGCCCCCATCGACAGGGCGCTCATCGAGCCCGCATGCTGACGGCGGGCGAGCGCGCCTGGCTCGACGCCTATCATGCGCGCGTGGCGGAGACCCTTGCGCCCCTGCTCGCGGACGATGCGGCCACGCTGGCCTGGCTTCGCGCCGCGACCGCGCCTCTCGGAGTCGCCTGAGCCGAGGCCGGGTCTCGACGCCTAAGGCGTTGGGCCGGTCATCTTCGTTGGATCGACCCAGCGCTCGAAGTCGGCATCGCTCACCACGCCGAGGGCAAGCGCGGCCTCCTTCAGCGTCGTGCCCTCGGCGTGGGCCTTCTTCGCCACCTTGGCGGCGTTGTCGTAGCCGATATACGGGTTTAGCGCGGTCACCAGCATCAGCGATTCGTGGAGGAGCTGGTCGATACGCGCGCGGTTGGGCTCGATGCCTGCGACGCAATTGTCGGTGAAGCTGCGGGCACCGTCGCCGATCAGCCGGATCGACTGGAGCAGGTTGTAGATCATCACGGGCTTGAACACGTTGAGCTCGAAGTGCCCGCTGGCGCCGCCCACCGATATCGCGACGTTATTGCCCATGACCTGGGCGGCCACCATGGTCAGCGCCTCCGCCTGAGTCGGGTTGACCTTGCCCGGGCATGATCGAGGAGCCCGGCTCGTTCGCCGGCAATTCGAGCTCGCCCAGGCCGCAGCGCGGGCCCGACGCGAGAAGCCGGATGTCGTTGGCGATCTTCATCAGGCTCGCAGCCACGGTGTTGAGCGCGCCCGACATCTCCACGACCGCGTCGTTGGCGGCGATGGCTTCGAACTTGTTCTCGGCGGTCCTGAAGGGAAGCCCGGTGAGCGCGGCGACCTCGGCCGCGAAGCGCGCATCGAAGCCGGCCTTGGTGTTGAGCCCGGTGCCGACGGCGGTGCCGCCCTGAGCAAGCGCACAAAGCCTGGGCAGCGCGGCACGCACGCGCTCGATACCGTACTCCACCTGCGTCGCGTAGCCGGAGAACTCCTGGCCGAGGGTGAGCGGCGTCGCGTCCTGAAGATGGGTCCGGCCGATCTTGACGATATCGGCGAAGGCCTCCGATTTCGCCGCAAGCGCCCGGTGCAGATGCTCGAGCGCCGGCAGCAGCAGGTGGTGGCACTGCTCCACGGCGGCGATGTGCATCGCGGTCGGGAAGGTGTCGTTGGACGACTGGCTCCGGTTGACATGGTCGTTGGGGTGCACCGGGCGTCTTCTGGCCCATCGGCTGGCCGAGAATCTCGCAGGCTCTGTTTGCGATCACCTCGTTGGCGTTCATGTTGCTCTGGGTGCCCGAGCCGGTCTGCCAGACGACGAGGGGGAAGTGGTCGTCGAGCGCGCCCGAGATGACCTCGCCTGCGGCCGTATCGATTACCGCGCCGACCTCGGCATCGAGCAGGCCCGCTTCGACGTTCACCCGCGCCGCCGCCTGCTTGATGATGCCGAGCGCCCGGATCAGCGGCGGCGGCATGCGCTCGCCGCCGATCTTGAAGTTCTGCAGGCTGCGCTGCGTCTGAGCACCCCAATAGGCACTCGCGGGCACGTCGATCGCGCCGATCGAGTCCGTCTCGCGCCGTATCTCCGCCGATGTGTCGGTCATGGCCGTACCCTCTCCGGTTGCGGGCTTCCTTTACCATATCCCTCAGTCGCCGGGCGCTCCCTCATGTCGCGCGCGTCGGCGCTACGCGCGTATCGCCGCATCCCCGCGGCCTGCGGCCCGGGCACCCAACTCTCCTGTCACTTCTGCTGCTGGCGTGCATCTGACCGGGGTCGGGGTTTGGCCGGTGCGGGCCACCGCTCTATCTTCGCGCCCTCATCCCAGGAAGCCCGAGGGTGTGCCATGACGAGCGATACGTCACAGGCGGTGATGGTGACCGGTGCCGGCCGCAGCATCGGCCGCGCCGTGGCAGAGCGCTTCCACGCCGCAGGTGCGCGCGTCCATATCTGCTGCGTGACCACCGAGAGCCTGGAGGATGTGCTCGGTGCCAACCCCGGCATGTCCGGCAGCATCGCGGACGTGGGCTCGGCGGACGCAGTCGCGCGCTGGTTCGAGGACGGGCTCGAGGCTCTCGGCACCTCGACGTGCTGGTCAACAACGCCGGCATCAGCGGGCCGCGCGCACCGGTGGAGGAGATCGAGGACGACGACTGGTACCGGGTGATCGACGTCAACCTCAACGGCATGTTCCATTGCATCAAGCGCGCCGTACCGGTGATGAAGGCCAAGGGCCGGGGCGCGATCATCAACATCTCGACCGCATCCACCAGGGTCGGGATGCCGCTCAGGACCGCCTACGTCACCTCCAAGTGTGCGTGGACGGCATGACCCGGAATCTGGCGCGGGAGCTCGGCCCCTTCGGCATCCGCTGCAACGCGATCCTGCCGGGGATCATCGACAATCCGCGCGGCCGGCGCCTGATCACGCACCTCGCGAGCGAGCGAGGGCAGACGGTCGAGGAGGCGCACGAGCGCTACGTGAGCTTCATCTCCACGCGCTCGCTGATTTCCTGCGAGGAGGTCGCCGACGCCGCGTTCTTTCTGGCGCAGGACACGGCGCGCAACATCACCGGGCAACTGATCGGGGTCTGCGGCAACCTCGAATGGGAGGAGTAGAGCGAGTCCGACTTTGTCGGACTCGCGATAGGCCGCGACCGCGGCCCGCCGCCCCTGCGGCGCCCTCGCGGAGGCGCCGGCCGGAGGCCGGCTGCCGTGAGCGAAAAAAGCTGGAGCGATTCCGTGTGAAACGGAAACGCTCCAGGTAACTACTTCTTACGAAAGCGGTCGAGCGCCACGACCTTATCGCCGCCCGCCTCCGGCGCGGTTTCTTCTCCGCCCGCCTCTGGCGCGACCGTCTTCTCCGCCCGCCTCTGCGCCGTCAGCCTCGGGCAGAGCCTTGTCGCCGCGCGCCTTTGACGGAGCCTCTCCGCGCGCCTCAGGCGGAACTCCGAATTGCAGGCCGAACTTGACCGAGGGATCGGCGTAGCTGGTGAGCGCCGCAAACGGCACGACGATACGCTGGCCGACCTTGTTGAAACTGAGCGTCACGGCGAAGGAGTCGTCCTCGACCTCCAGACCCCAGAACTGGTGCTGAAGCACGATCGTCAGCTCGTCGGGGTGGCGCGCGAGGAGCGAGTCCGGCAACTCGACACCGGGCGCAGCGGTCTTGAAGGTGATGTAGGCGTGATGCGTGCCGGGCCAGCCCTCGGCGGCAACCTGGCGGAGCGCCTCGCGGACCACCGAGCGCAATCCGCTTTCCACCAGCGTGTTGTAGCCGATCAGATCCTTGCCCATCGCCGCGTCCGTCTCCGCTCGCCCGGCAACTTGGCCCGCAGGCAGTTTAGCCCGGATGTCTCACGCCGGTCACGGCCTGCGTCGCGCGGGACGCGCGCTGCCGTGCGCGGGCACCAGGCCAGCATGATTGGGCATTAGTCTCACAATTACTCCGTAGAACAAAGGGTTATGTGAAATTGGCTTCGTTTTGTAATTCTTTGAATTCGACCGCCGAGCCCATTCCCAACAAACCATGGCCTTGGCAAAGATGCCGGGTTCGCCCGGAATGTCACCAGGACCATGGTCCGGGTGGCGCGGGCCGTAGCCTTGGTGAGAAATGCGCGGTAAGCGGGGGGCTTCTGTTGCCCGGCGCCCCCCAAGCCGCGCTTACCTAGCGATGCTAGGCAGCGAGTGCGACTTCATTGTCATTCGCACCTCTGCGTTGGCCCGATAACGGCGGTACCATGCCGGGCGAAAACTACACCTTTACCACGCACGTCGATCCTGGTTCGCCCCCGCAACGCGGGCCGCCGGCCCAAAGGGTGGTGGAGGCGCCGGGTACTGCCCCCGGGTCCGCAACGATTATTCCGAGCAGCGTTTATCGCCATAGTCGACGGTCTCCCGCCGACCCAGCTAATATAGGAGGTCGCGGCGCCCAATGGAAGCGGCCGATTGGGCGCCACGAGCGGCCGCCCGAGCGAAGCGCGACAGCCGACGCGGCCCACCGAATCGTGCCACCGGGGACCACCGACACCATGCCGATCGACGACCACAAGCGGGCGGAGATCGAGGCCCAGCGCGCTGCCTCGCAGGAGACCAGGCGCGTCACGGTGGCGGCCATGGAGGCGATCCTCTACGAGCGCTTCGACGTGCTCGACCACGGCTTCGTCCGCGTGATCGACTACATGGGCGACGACGCGGCCATCGTGCAGGCGGCGCGGGTTTCCTACGGTGCGGGCACGCGCAAGGTGCGGGAGGACCGCGCGCTGATCCGCTATCTCCTGCGCCACCGCCACACCACGCCCTTCGAGATGTGCGAGCTGAAGCTCCACATCAAGGCGCCGATCTTCGTCGCCCGGCAGTGGCTCCGCCACCGCACCGCCAGCGTCAACGAGTATTCGGCGCGCTACTCGCGGCTGGACCGCGAGTTCTACGTGCCGGACGCGGACCACCTGCAATCGGTCCACGAGGAGCAGATCGGGCGCCAGCGGGCCAGCAGCAGCGGCATGGACGACCTGTTCGGAAGCACTGAGGCAGTAGGTGAGCGGTTGGCCCTCGCCACGCAATCCGAGTTCCAACAAGCAGGGCCGGGACGACGTGCTGACGGACGAGGAGGCCCGGCAGGCGCTCTCTCGCCTCGATTGGATTTCGACCCGCGCCTATGGCGTCTACAAGAACCTGCTCAACGAAGACGATACCGGGGCGCCCAAGGACCCCGACCGCGCCGGGCTCGCCCGCGAGCTCGCGCGCGCGGCGCTGCCGGTCAACTACTACACCCAGTTCTACTGGAAGATCGACCTGCACAACCTCCTGCACTTCCTCTCGCTCCGGGCCGATGCCCACGCCCAGTACGAAATCCGCGCCTATGCCGACGTGATCCTCGACAAGATCGTCATGAGCTGGGTGCCTGCGACGTACCAGCCTTCCGCGACTATGCGATGGACGCCGCTTCGCTCTCCGCAGGCGGGCTCGCCGTGGTCAAGCGCATGCTGGCCGGCGAGACGGTCGATCAGGCGAGTAGCGGGCTCTCCAAGCGCGAGTGGCGCGAGCTGATGGCGGTGCTGGGGCGAGATCCCTAGTGTCCCGTTCGAGAGATTCTTAAACTTCGCAGGTGTCCCTCTCGTATGGCCGGACTCGTTCCGGCCATCCACGCGGCCGTCCACCCTCCGACGGTTGACGCTGCCCGGAACAAGTCCGGGCATGACGGAGGGAGGAACTGAGGTCCAAAAAAGAACAGGCATTGGGTCGAAAGCGTAGAAACCTCGGAAACGGGCCAGTCGCCCTCATTTCTCACCACGCTCGCGGCCGTTCAGCGTCCCCGCCTTAACAGCGGGATTCGGCTGTGTAAGGGGATAAGTGGGATAAGTGGGATTCTCCAGACAAGGTCGCGCACGCCTGAAGGGTCGTGCGCGCGAAATTGATTGGCACACCCCCCTTGATCCCGCCAGCCGTGGCCCGCTCGCTCTCGCTCTGCGTCGCGCGGAAATGCGGGCGGGAAGTCGCGCGGATACGCGCGCGGCAAGACAGTCGACGCATGGCGCCATCCTGGCGCATGCGCCGCGCACCCTGCACCGCACCATGGTCCGGGGAGCAGGGTGAGATGCCCGAGCCCTGGGCGAAATGCCGGGCCGCCGATCAGCTACAGAAGGGCCACACCTGCCACCAGGAATCGCAGCGAAATTCTGATTCGCAGCGCTTGATCTGCGCCTCGTAGCGCCGCGTGGTCTCGGCCACCCGCTCGGCGATGCGCTGCAGCTTCGGCTTCCCTTTCCAGCTGCCCTTCCGGTAGCCGCCGCGCCCCTCGTGATAGGCGAGATAGAGGTTGCGCGCGTCGGTCTTGGCGATCCCGAGCTCGCGCGACGTCCCGTGGTTGTACCAGCCGATGAAATCGAGGGCGTCTTCCATGTCCGAACGGCTGCGGAAGAAAGCGAGCCGCGCTGGTCCGTGTAGTCGCTCCAGGCCGGGTCCTGCGCCTGGGCGTACCCCTTGGCGGACGACACGTGCCCCCAGGGGATGATCCAGAGGACGTACTTGCGGGGCGGCCGTGCATTGCTCCGGAAGCTCGATTCGTGGTGCACGAAGGCCATGAGGACGGGGATCGGCACGCCCCACTCGTCCGCAGCGTCTTTCGCGTAGTCGTACCAGTCGGGATGTTGTTGAAAGACCGCGCAGAGGTCCTGCTGACGTTCCGGAACCGAGGGAGCGCAGCCGGCAGACTCAGCGCAGCCAGGAGAAGGGCGACGAGGCCCGCGCCGATCCACCGTCGGCGGCCCAGATGGCCCGATAGTACCTGAAGAACGTCGTCGATCCGCCTGCGCGCCATCGGCGGCGACCTTCACATCATGACGATGCGGGGCTGCGAGCGCCCCGCGCCGCCCACCGCCGAGGTCGCCTTGTCGATGAGGCCGGCGGCGATCCGCCGGTAGGACGCGGCGTGGGGGCTGTCAGGCTGGGTGACCACGATGGGGCGGCCGGAATCCGAGGTCGTTCTGATATCCAGGTGGAGCGGAATCTCGCCCAGGAAGTCGACACCGAGCCGGCGCGCCGTCTCGCGCGCGCCGCCATGGTGGAAGATCTCGGCGCGGTGGCCGCACTCGGGGCACACGTAGTAGCTCATGTTTTCCACGACCCCGAAGATCGGCACGTTGACCTGCTGGAACATGTTGATGCCCCGGGTCACGTCGAGCAGCGCGATATCCTGCGGGGTCGAGACGATCACGGCGCCGGTGAGCGGGACCCGCTGCGCCATGGTGAGCTGCGCATCGCCGGTACCCGGCGGCAGGTCGCAAAGCAGCACGTCAAGCTCGCCCCAATCGACGTCGCGCATCATCTGTTCGAGCGCCTGCATGACCATCGGGCCGCGCCAGATCATGGCCGTGTCCTCGGCGACGAGGAACCCGATCGACATGCACTTGATCCCGTAATTCGCCATGGGGCGCAGCGTGCGCTCCCCCACCAACTCCGGCTGGCCGCTCAGATTGAGCATGCGCGGGATCGAGGGGCCGTAAATGTCGCAATCGAGCAGGCCGACCCGGACGTTCTGGGCGGCCATTGCCGTGGCGAGGTTCACGGCTGTCGTCGACTTGCCGACTCCGCCCTTGCCCGACGCGATGGCGATCACGCTCTTCACGCCGGGCAGGAGCTCGCTGCCCTGCTGCGGCGCCGCCTGCGCCTGCCCCCCCTGCCCGCCCTGAGCGTCACCGCGGGCGTGACCCTGGCCGTGCGCGTGGCTGTGGCCGTCCGCCTGGCCGGAGGCCTGCCTTTCGGCGGTCATCACCGCCGTCACCGAGAGCACGCCGGGCAACCGGTCGACCGCCGTCTCGCAGGCCTTGCGCAGCGGCTCCTTCGCCGCGCCCTGAGCCGGGTCGACTTCGAGCGCAAAACCGACGTTGCCGTCCCGCACCACCACACCGCTGATCAGCCCGCCGGCGACGACGTTCTGCCCGCTGTCCGGGTCCAAGACATCGGTCAGCGCCGCCAGAACCTGCTCCTTGGTGACTGACGCCATCGTTCCACTCCGACCGGGGGCGCGCCGCGGATAGTTGCGAGCGTGCATGCGCGCCGTTGCGTGCGGCGACCGCATGACTTATAAGGCGCCCATGGAAACTTGCAAAGCCTTGGGAAAGAGGCCGAACCATGCCCTGGTCTAGCCAAGGCGGCGGTGGCGGCTGGCAAAGCGGTGGCGGCGGCGCGGGTAGTGGCGGCCCGTGGGGCCGCTCACCGGGCGGCGGCGGCCGGCGTGGTGGACAGCAAACCCCACCGCCAGATCTCGAAGAGATGCTCCGGCGTGGGCAGGATCGCTTCCGCCGATTTATGCCGGGTGTGCGCGGGGGCCGCGGCCTCATCCTGCTCCTCATCATCGTGCTCGGCATCTGGCTGCTGACCGGCTTCTACCGCGTCGAGCCCGACGAGCAGGGCGTGGTGCTGCGCTGGGGCGAGTGGACCCAGACCACCCAGCCGGGCCTCAACTATCATCTGCCCTGGCCCTTCGAGACGGTTCTCTTGCCCAAGGTGACGAAGATCAACCGGGCCGAGATCGGCTACCGGACCCTGGTCGACTCCAAACGGGGGGCGTTCACGCGGCCGGTGCCGGACGAGAGCCTGATGTTGACCGGCGATGAGAACATTATCGACGTGAAGTTCACCGCCTTCTGGCGCATCCGCGATGCCGGCCAGTATCTGTTCAACATCCAGGCGCCGGATCGCACGGTGAGGGACGCGGCCGAGAGCGCGATGCGCGAGGTGATCGGCAAGACCCGCCTGCAATCCGCCCTTGCCGAGGAGCGGTTTCTCTTGGCCCAGCAGACTCACGAACTGACCCAGTCGATCCTGGACTATTACGGTGCCGGCATCGAAGTCACCCAGATCGAGCCGCAGGACATCGGGCCGCCGGACGCGGTGATCGCCAGCTTCCGCGACGTGCAGGCCGCGCGGGCGGACCAGGAGCGGGCGAAGAACGAGGCCGAGTCCTACCGCAACGACATCATCCCGCGTGCACGCGGCGCGGCGGAACGCCTCGTGCAGGAGGGCACGGCCTACAAGGAGCAGATCGTCGCCGAGGCCCAGGGCGAGGCGTCGCGCTTCGTTGCGGTCCACACCGAGTACGCGCAGAACGCGGATGTCGTCCGCCGGCGCATGTATTTGGAGACGATGGAGGAAGTGCTCGGCGGGCTGGACAAGATCATCATCGATTCGGGCGGGGGGGGCTCCTCCGGCGTCGTGCCCTACCTGCCCCTGCCCGAGCTTCAACGCCGCCAGGGCGGCACGCAGTAGTAGGCCATGAGCACCCGACTCAAATTCGTCATCGGCGCCGCGGTCATCCTCGTGGCCATCGTCCTGCTCCTGATCTCCACCTACAAGGTGCGTGAGGATCAACAGGCGATCCTCCTGCAGCTCGGCGAGCCCATCAAGGTGGTGAACCAGTGGGGCACGGACGAGCCGGGGCTGCGCTTCAAGACGCCCTTCGTCCAGAACGTCGAGTATTTCGAGAAGCGGGTCCTCGACTTCAACGCGCCGGCGGAGGAGATGATCCTCGGCGACCAGAAGCGGCTGGTCGTGGACGCCTTCATCCGCTATCGGATCATCGATCCCCTGCGCTTCTTCCAGTCCGTCGGCAACGAGGCGGTGGCCCGCGCCAGGCTCGGCGCCATCCTCAACGCCAGCACGCGGCAGGTGCTGGGCACGGTCGAGCTGATCACCGTGCTCTCCGGCGAGCGCGCCCAGCTGATGACCCAGATCAGGGACCAGGTGAACCGTCAGTCCACCGGCTTCGGCGTCGATGTGATTGATGTGCGCATCCGCCGCGCCGACCTGCCGGAGGAGAACAGCCAGGCGGTCTATCAGCGCATGCAGACCGAGCGCGAGCGCGAGGCGAAGGAGTTCCGGGCCCAGGGTGAGGAAGAGTCGCAGCGCATCCGCTCGCGCGCCGACCGCGAGCGTGTGGTGCTCCTCGCGGAGGCGGAGCGCGAGTCCCAGATCCTGCGCGGCGACGGCGACGGCGAAGCGCACCGGATCTCGCGCGAGGCCTATGGCCGGGACCCCGAATTCTACGCCTTCTACCGGGCCATGCAGGCCTATCGCGAAGCCCTCGGGGACTCCGATACCTCGATGGTGCTGTCGCCGGACAGCGAGTTCTTCCGTTACTTCGGTGAGATATCGGGCAACCAGGCACCCACCGCCCCGGCGACGCCTGAGTGACGCGCCCCGGCCGCGGGCCGGTGCAAGGCCGCCCCACGGCCGCTCCCAACGATCCGACTATGAGCGACGGGCTCACCGCATTCCTGACCGCTATCGGGCTCATTTTCGTCATCGAAGGTGGGCTCTATGCGCTGTTCCCGGAGGCGATGCGGCGCAGCATCGCGCGCGTGCTCGCCCAGCCGTCCGCGCGGATACGCACCATCGGCATGAGCGCAGCCCTGGTAGGCCTCCTGCTGGTCTGGCTGGTCAATTAGCGGCGACGGGGGCGGTCGTGACGAGGAAAGGGCACACCACGTGAGCGAGCGACTGCTCGCGCCCTTCGCTGGGCTCCGCGTCGCCCCGCACCATGCGGATGCAGTGTTGGCGCCGCCCTATGACGTGCTCTCCACAGAGGAGGCGCGAGCCGCCGCGCAGGGGCGTCCGCGGAGCTTCCTCCACGTCTCCCGGCCGGAGATCGACCTGCCGCCCGAGACGCCACCCGGCGCGCCTGCGCTCTACGAGGGGCGGCGACGGCGTTCGCGCGGATGATCGAGAGCGGAGTCCTGATCCGCGATACGGCGCCCCGCTTCTACGCCTGGCGCATGGAGGCGCAAGGCCGCGCGCAGACGGGGCTGGTGGCGGCGGCCTCCCTCGCGGCTTACGAGCAAGGCGCGATCAAGCGGCACGAATCGACCCGGCCGCCCAAGGTGGAGGACCGCGCCCGGCACATTGAAGCGCTCGGCGCGCAGACAGGCCCCCTGCTCCTGATTCACCGGCCGGACGAAGAGGTTCGCCGCCTGATCGCCGCGGCCTGCGCAGGGCCGCCGCTCTGCCGCTCCGTGCAGGGTGGAACGGTGACGCATACGCTCTGGCCGATCGACGGCGCCGACGAGATCGAAGCGCTGACAGAGCGGTTCGACCGGATCGGTGCGCTCTATATCGCCGACGGCCACCACCGCGCCGCCGCGGCGCAGACAGCAGCCCAGGCGATGGGAGCAGGGACGGGAGAGGCAGCCAGCCGTCTGTTGACGGTGAGCTTCCCCGCCGACGAGGTGCGCATCCTCGGCTATCACCGCATCGTGCGGGGCCTGAACGGCCTCACATCGCCGCGGGTATTCCTGCGCCAGATCGGCCAGACGCTCGGCTGCGAGCCGGCGGAGGGGCCGGTGGAGCCCGCGCAGCCGGCGCACTTCGGCATGTATGTGGAGGGCCGCTGGTACCGCCTCGCCGCCGAAGGAGCGGCGCCCGCCAGCGGTGCGGCGGTCGATCGCCTCGACGTTTCGCTCCTCGCGCGCCTGGTTCTCGGGCCGATCCTCGGCATCGGCGATCCCAGGCTCGATGCGCGGATCGACTTCGTGGGCGGCGGGCGCGGCGTGGAGGCGCTCGCGGCGGCGGTCGACGGCGGCGACGCGACGGTCGCCTTCTCGCTCTATCCGACCTCCGTGGAGGACCTCATGGCGGTCGCCGATGCCGGCGCGATCCTGCCGCCGAAAACCACCTGGTTCGAGCCCAAGCTCGCCGACGGACTGGTCTCGCTGGTCCTCTCCTGACGGAAGGCGAACACGCTGTGGCCGAAGGCCCCCCTTCGATCCTGGTGATCGGCGGCCCGACGGCGAGCGGCAAGTCGGCGCTCGCGGCCGATGCCGCCCAGAAGTTCGGCGGTGTCGTCGTCAACGCCGACAGCATGCAGCTCTACCGCGACCTGCCGATCCTCACGTCCTGGCCGGACGACGAGCTCCGCGCGCGGGCGCCGCATCGGCTCTACGGCGTTCTCGACGGCGCCGAGCGCTGCTCCGCCGGCCGCTGGCGTGCTCTGGCGATGGCTGAGATCGACGCGGATACGCAGGCGACGGCGCGCTGCCGATCCTGGTCGGCGGAACGGGGCTCTACCTGCGGGCGCTCCTCGCGGGGCTTGCGCCGGTGCCGGCGACGCCTGAGCCCGTGCGGGCGGCAGTGCGGGCGCTCTATGAGCGGGAGGGCAGCGGCGGCCTCCACGCGCGGCTCGCCGCGCGCGATCCCGAGGCGGCCCGCCGGCTCGAACCCGGCGACAGCCAGCGGGTGATGCGGGCCTACGAGGTGATCGAGGCGACCGGGCGCTCGCTCCTCTCGTGGCAGGCGGAGAAGCACGAGAGCTTCGGCGGCCGGGCCGCAACGCTCGTCCTCGAGCCGCCCCGGGCAGAGCTTTACGACGCCTGCAACACGCGCTTCGAGGGCATGATGGCGGCGGGCGCCCTCGACGAAGCGGCGCGCCTCAAGGCTCGCGGCCTCGACCCCGGCCTTCCGGTGATGAAGGCGGTCGGTGTGCGTGCTCTGCACGATTACCTGAGCGGCGTTACCTCCCTCGAGCGGGCGATCGCGCTCGGCCGGCAGGAGACGCGCCGCTACGCCAAGCGCCAGACCACCTGGTTCCGCACCCAGATGCCGGGCACAGCCCGCATGCCGGACCGTTACCGCGCGGAATCGAAACGGGAATCTCTCGCCCTCGTGGAACGCCTGCTATTGACCGGCGGGGGGTGAAAGACTACTGTCCGCCCTCCAGACACGGGTGCGCGGCCAAGCGCACCGACGCGGGCCGGCCGACCCTGGTTCAAGGGTGGGCCGTTTACGCTTGTGCGGAAGGGAGATCGCCGTGACAACGGATGCCGAGGATCACGCCCCGGCAGAGCTGACCGGGGCCGAACTGGTTGTCCGCACTCTGGTCGATCTCGGCGTAGATGTCGTGTTCGGCTATCCCGGCGGCGCGGTCCTGCCGATCTACGACGCCATCTTCAAGCAGAACGAGCTGCGCCACATCCTGGTGCGGCACGAGCAGGGCGCCGTCCACGCCGCCGAGGGTTATGCGCGCTCCACCGGCAGGGTCGGCACGGTGCTGGTCACCTCCGGCCCCGGCGCCACCAACAGCGTCACCGGGCTCACCGATGCGCTCATGGACAGCATCCCCGTCGTCTGCCTGACCGGGCAGGTGCCGACCCACATGATCGGCAACGACGCGTTTCAGGAAGCCGACACGGTGGGGATCACCCGGCCCTGCACCAAGCACAACTATTTGGTGAAGGACGCTAACGATCTCTGCCGCGTGATCCGCGAGGCCTACTACATCGCGAGCGCCGGCCGGCCCGGCCCCGTGGTGGTCGACCTGCCGAAGGACGTGGTCATGACCAAGGCGCCCTACGTCGAAGCGGAGGCGGCGGGCAACGGCAGGAATCATCGCTCATACCGACCACGGCGGATACCCGATGCCGATGCGGTCAAGCGCACGGTCGAGCTGATGGCGCGCGCCAAGCGCCCCCTCTTCTACGCCGGCGGCGGAGTCATCAACGCAGGCCCCGGCGCGGCGCAGAGCCTGGCAGCACTGGTGCGGCGCACCGGGTACCCGATCACCAACACGCTGATGGGGCTCGGGTGCTATCCGGGGACAGACCCGCTCTTCCTCGGCATGCTGGGGATGCACGGCACCTACGAGGCCAACATGGCGATGGCCGAGTGCGATCTGATGATCGCGGTCGGCGCCCGCTTCGACGATCGCGTCACCGGCCGGCTCGCCGATTTCTCACGCGGCTCGACCAAGGTCCAGATCGACATCGATCCGTCCTCCATCAACAAGAATGTGCCGGTCGACGTCGCCATCATCGGCGATGCGGGCCTCGCGCTCGACGCCATCATGGCCGAGTGGGAGGCGAGCGGCGCCGAGCCCAACGCCGAGGCGCAGGCGGCATGGTGGCGGCAGCTCGAAGCGTGGCGCGGGCGCGACTGCCTGCGCTACAAGAACTCCGGCACCGCCATCAAACCGCAATATCGCCCTCCAGCGGCTCTATGAGGCGACCAAGGGGCGGGACGTCTACTTCACCACCGAAGTGGGCCAGCACCAGATGTGGGCGGCTCAGTTCCTCAAGATCGAGGAGCCCAACCGGTGGATGACCTCGGGCGGCCTCGGCACCATGGGCTACGGCTTTCCGGCAGCGATGGGCGTGCAGGTCGCCCATCCCGACTCGCTGGTCATCGATGTTGCGGGCGAGGCGTCGCTCCTGATGGTGATCCAGGAGCTCTCGACGATGGTGCAGCACCGGCTGCCCGTAAAAACCTTCCTGCTCAACAACGAATACATGGGCATGGTGCGCCAGTGGCAGGAGTTCTTCCACGGCGGGACGCTATGCCGAGAGCTACATGGATTCGCTCCCCGACTTCGTGAAGCTGGCGGAATCCTTTGGGGCCACGGGTCTGCGGGCGAAGCGGCCCGAGGACGTGGACGACGTGATCCAGGCCATGATCGAGACGCCCGGCCCCGTAATTGCCGACATCCAAGTCGACAAGGAGGAGAACGTCTATCCGATGATCCCGGCCGGCGCCGCGCACTACGAGATGAAGCTCGGCCCCGAGCACGGCGAGCTTGAGGAGCGCTCCGAAGACGGGATGGTGCTCGTCTAGGACCCCGCGGCGCCAAACCATGACACAAGTCGCCAATCCGCTCGCCGCGCCGGGGCGCCGGCCGCAGCGGGACGCCCGCCTGTAGGCGGCCGGGAGGAACGGCCGTGGACGACTCCGCCGAGCGCCGCACGCTTTCCGTGCTGGTCGAGAACGAGCCGGGGGTTCTGGCGCGGGTCATCGGCCTCTTCTCCGGGCGCGGCTACAATATCGAGAGCCTGACCGTCGCCGAGGTCGAGCGCGGCAAGCGACTCTCCCGCATCAATCTGTTACCTTGCTCGCCCATGTATCGAGAGATTCAGGCGCAGCTCGATCGCCTGGTTCCGATCCAAAAGGTCTCCGACCTTGGGGGGGGGGGGGGGTATGGGCGAGTGGTTGTGAGGCCCCTACTCGATCGCGAGTCGCGCTCATCAAAGTCGTCGCCCACCGGCGTGAAGCGTGTCGAATTCGCTGTCGAATCGCTGATGTTCCGTGCCCTGTTGTCACAGCGGATCGTTCGTTTGTATTCGAATTGGCCGGTAAGGCGGCAAGATCGCGCCTTCTCCGGCTGAATGACGCCGCTC